TTATGTACCAAGTAGGAATTTATGTATTCAGCTTTGAACCACATCGTTTGTGTGAGGATATTTACCCAGTTACCCAAACCGAATTAGGTGATGTGGGACTTGACCCTGTGACATACCGGCCGAAAGTTGAATGTTTAGACCGCAGTCACTCCTCCAATGAACAGAATTATTTGGAGACGACAACACTTCGATTTTTAATAGACAATGCTGAATCCAACAGAAATAGAAGGATTTTAAAGTAAACAACAAGGATTTGAATAGAGTGGAAAATAAACGAAAAGTAATGGAATCCCTAAAATTCAGGAGATACACAATAAAGTATCTATGTTATTCTGAGGCATTTCAGACCATGTCACTTAACGTCTTCAACCACTGACTTATCATAAGGAGGAAGCAAATCTACACCTTCTTATACAAATATAACCCAGAAGTGAGTGAGTGACTTTACAAACTGATGTCAATTTTATAAGATTCCCAAACTTAACCTCAATCTTATTTCAGCATGTTGGATTTGCCAAGAATCTCTCATTCAATTTAATTATGATATTTAATTGAAACTACTGGTTTAAGAACTCCGCCTGGAGTCCCTCCGGGGGCTACTGTCGGTCCCAAGCCCGGATAAAGGAGGAGGGTTGGGCATGGGGTTAGCGTCCCCATCCCGTAGAAAACTAACTCGCTAAAAAAACGCTAACCAGAAAAAATTATTCAAACCTTTTAAACTCTGCCCTGGGAGTCAGAAGGTCTTCATTTAGAAGAATTATGACGCCTCATGATGAAAGCCGAATTCCTTCGGAAGTTACGAGGCCGATGCCCCTTCTGACAACCAGAGCGACCATTTATTTAGGTACATGGAATGTTCGTACAATGTGGGACACCGGGAGAGCCTTCCAAATTGCTGCAGAAATGAGAAGATACAACCTAGAGGTACTTGGGATCAGTGAAACACATTGGACACAAGTTGGACAACAACGACTAACTACAGGAGAGCTCCTGTTATACTCCGGCCATGAAGATGAAAATGCACCACATACACAAGGAGTTGCATTGATGCTGTCCAAACAAGCGCAAAATGCGCTTATAGGATGGGAATCTCATGGACCAAGGATCATCAAAGCCTCGTTCAAAACAAAGAAAGAGGGTATTTCAATGAACATCATCCAATGCTATGCGCCTACCAACGACTACAATGAAGACGCTAAAGATCAATTCTACAATAGGCTGCAGTCAATCGTCGAGAAGTGCCCAACAAAGGACCTGACCATTCTGATGGGAGATTTCAACGCCAAGGTTGGAACGGACAACACTGGATATGAAGACATCATGGGACGACACGGACTGGGAGAAAGAAACGAAAATGGTGAGAGATTTGCAAATCTATGTGCCTTCAATAAGCTGGTCATAGGCGGCACCATATTCCCACATAAACGCATACACAAAACCACATGGACTTCACCGGATCACTATACACAAAACCAAATCGACCATATTTGCATCAACAAAACGTTCAGGAGGACTATAGAGGACGTGAGAACCAAGAGAGGAGCTGATATAGCATCAGATCATCACTTGCTGGTCGCCAAGATGAAATTGAAACTCAAGAAGCACTGGACAACGGGGCGGACAATATCACAAAAGTTCAATACGGCCTTTCTTCAGGATACTAACAAACTCAACAAATTCAAGATAGTCCTCAGCAACAAGTTCCAGGCCTTTCATGATCTACTCAATGGAGAAGGAACTACTGTGGAGAGCAACTGGAAGGGGATCAAAGAGGCAATCACTTCAACATGTCATGAGGTCCTGGGTCACAAGAAGCACCATCACAAGGAATGGATCACTGTTGATACACTGGATAAGATTCAAGAAAGGAGGAACAAGAAGGCAGCAATCAATACCAGTCGAACAAGAGCAGAAAAAGCCAAGGCACAAGCTGAATACACAGAAGTAAACAAACAAGTGAAGAGGAGCATCAGAACCGACAAACGTAAATATGTGGAAGATTTAGCAACGACGGCGGAAAAGGCTGCAAGAGAAGGAAACATGAGACAACTGTATGACACGACAAAGAAACTCTCTGGAAATCGCCGCAAACCAGAACGACCAGTGAAAAGCAAGGAAGGCGAGGTAATCACCAACATTGAAGAGCAACAAAACAGGTGGGTAGAACACTTCAAAGAACTCTTGAATCGACCAGCTCCACTGAACCCACCCAACATCGAAGCAGCACCCACGGACCTCCCAATCAATGTTGGCCCACCAACAATTGAAGAAATCAGCATGGCCATCAGACAAATCAAGAGTGGCAAAGCAGCAGGACCGGACAACATTCCAGCAGAGGCACTAAAAGCAGACGTAGCGGCAACTGCAAGGATACTCCACATTCTCTTCAATAAGATTTGGGATGAGGAACAAGTACCAAAAGACTGGAAAGAAGGACTTCTGATCAAAATACCGAAGAAAGGCGATCTCAGCAACTGTGATAACTACAGGGGCATCACTCTTCTCTCAATACCGGGAAAAGTCTTCAACAGGGTATTGTTAAACAGGATGAAGGACTGCGTAGACGCCCAACTTCGTGACCAACAGGCAGGATTCCGTAAGGATAGATCGTGTACAGACCAAATCGCAACTCTACGGATCATTGTGGAACAATCAATTGAATGGAATTCATCACTCTACATCAACTTCATTGACTACGAAAAGGCATTTGATAGCGTGGACAGAACAACACTATGGAAACTTCTTCGACACTACGGCGTGCCTCAGAAGATAGTCAATATCATACAGAATTCCTATGATGGATTAAACTGCAAAATTGTGCATGGAGGACAGTTGACAAAGTCGTTCGAAGTGAAGACCGGTGTCAGGCAAGGTTGCTTACTCTCACCCTTTCTCTTTCTCCTGGTGATCGACTGGATCATGAAGACGTCAACGTCTGAAGGGAAGCACGGGATACAATGGACATCTAGGATGCAGTTGGACGATCTAGACTTCGCAGATGATCTGGCCCTTCTATCCCAAACGCAACAACAGATGCAGGAGAAGACGACCAGTGTGGCAGCAGCCTCAGCAGCAGTAGGTCTCAATATACACAAAGGGAAAAGCAGGATTCTCCGATACAACACAGAATGCACCAATCCAATCACAATTGACGGAGAAGATTTGGAAGATGTAAAAACCTTTACATATTTGGGCAGCATCATTGATGAACAGGGTGGATCTGATGCAGATGTGAAGGCGCGGATCGGCAAAGCAAGAGCAGCATATTTACAACTGAGGAACATCTGGAACTCAAAGCAACTGTCAACCAACACCAAGGTCAGGATTTTCAATACAAATGTCAAGACAGTTCTACTGTATGGGGCAGAAACCTGGAGAACTACGAAAGCCATCATCCAGAAAATACAGGTGTTTATTAACAGTTGTCTACGCAAAATACTTCAGATCCGTTGGCCGGACACTATTAGCAACAACGTACTGTGGGAGAGAACAAACCAGATCCCAGCGGAGGAAGAAATCAGGAAGAAGCGCTGGAAGTGGATAGGACACACATTGAGGAAAGCACCCAACTGCGTCACAAGACAAGCCCTCACATGGAATCCTGAAGGCCAAAGGAAAAGAGGAAGACCAAAGAACACATTACGCCGAGAAATGGAAATAGACATGAGAAAAATGAACAAGAATTGGATGGAACTAGAAAAGAAGGCCCAGGACAGAGTGGGTTGGAGAATGCTGGTCAGCGGCCTATGCTCCATTGGGAGTAACAGGCGTAAGTAAAGTAAGTAAGTAAGTAACTGGTTTTAAGAGTATTCAGGAAGTCGATTGGTTGAATGACTTTTTTAACCTCCAAAAATGCATCTTAGCAATTTTGTGTGTCATACGCTAACTAATAACAAGAATACAACAATAATACTATCTTTATTCAGCACTAGCACAGTAGGGAATCCTCAACACTAAATGACTTAACAAGTTCCTCCTCTGCCATATCCCTAATTATACCCTTAGAATGTAGTAGAAATCAAGAAAATCTATTCTTCTACAAGTTTTCTCAATAGTTTATACCAATATATCAATCGCGTCACTACCGAACGATGCGATAAATGATCAAGATTACGTATAACTCACAACATAGAGAAGTTGAGTACACAGAACTACATACAGGCTCATGTATTACAAAATGAGATGTTAGTCTATGAAGACTAACGATACCACTCAACTCACCCAAACTAGAATAGATTGGATGAGCCTAAACCATTGACTGAACGACTGGAAATTTCATGTTTATATCATATACCATTTGAGCTAAAACTATTCAGCAAAACTTAGGTTATCATCTGAGGTTTTTATTTGAGATTTATGATACTAGCCGCACAATGTCACTACATAAAAAGTGAAACTGAACACTAAAACACTTGAGACGGAAAATATCACCTTAAAGACAAACCTTAAAATGTCAACCATTCACTAACATTATGCAATACTTCTAGGTATAATGAAAAAAACCCACTGAGTCACTGAATTTCTAGGTATATTTATTCGATATAAAAAACAAACAAGCATAACGGAAATACTAAGGTATTTGCATCACAAAAACTTAACAAAAAGTGTTGTGCAATGATTTAATAAAGAACTGTTTATTCTCTTAGTGAAAAACACTGTAGATTTAGTTCAGCAACTTTGTACAGATTTTGTGTACTGAACTACACACCATGTACAATCCATAATACTCAACTGTCCAGAAAAAGTTGTAATTCATGTAACTCATTCAACAAGTACAGATTTATGTAGTCGGTTTTCAGCCACCATACTCTTTACACGTAATACTGCCTGACCAGTCAAACTAAAGTAATTAGAACAAATTTGGACCTGTAATGTATTAGATGAAAATAGGATTGGAATTTATTATATTTAAAAAGGTAAACAGCTAAATATTAATGGGTCACATTTCCAGTAATTTGTATGGTGAAACGCAATTTACAAACAATTAAGTGAAAACTTACAATCTAGTACCATTTGCACTTATTTCATCCAACGTATCTAAACGTTCAATAATGAGCAGACGACAAAGTACTGCTAGACGATTGTGTTCTTGTTGTAAATATTCTAAATTTGCTGGAGCTGACAAAGTTTCAGACTCATTTGAACTATATTGTGAATTTTTTGTCTAAAATATTTTAGAAATAAAAACAAAAAAGCATTAAGGCGAGTGTTCAATGTGCAATAATTATTGCAAACACAATCAGTGAAATCATTGGAAAAAAATCTGGAATTACATCCTTATACGACAGAAACAAGAAACACTTAAACCATCCAAATGTTAAGTAAAAAAATTGAAAATAAATCACGTTAGGAAATCTCCTACAGTCGAGAACTGAAGGCCTTTGAGTTCAATTTTGTGTGAAGTCATGGGTGCGTAACTCAGTCAGACATTCATTATCATGAATGTGCATCAATCTAAGTTATCATACTTCATATCAGTAAAACGAGAGGAAATCAACAGGAGGAAAAACATAAGAAGGGAAATAGAATCAAGAAAAATAAAAATCTAAACATGAGAAATTCAGCTAAAAAGAAACAAATGAAATCCAAAATGGGAAGCCAGGATGACAGTAAACTCAAGATTTAGAGAAACATATAAACTAATTGCGGTTGTACTATTGTAAACAATTTTGTGCTATATCACTTGATTTTTTCAAGCATTGACTGTAACTAATGCGAGAGACCTAAGCAGGAAGTTTGATATTGCTCAGATGAGCAACAAATGATTTCATAAATTGATGTTATATCTTGATTCGTTCACTCTTAGTTTATTCTGACCAACCCTCAGGCCATTTAACATTGTACTTCTAGATAAGTGTGGCTGGGCGTGTTTGTTAGTGTCCACTACTGTCCTATGCTGAACTATAACGACAGATCTATTTGTTGGTCATTGGCTTCCAATGATTCTTTGGATGATATCAGTTCATGATAATGAATTATCTTTGAAGTGCGTAAAAGTCTTGAGGAAAGTACTTAAAAATAAATACAAGCTGGCGTCTTAATTTAGATACATGACCTAATTTATTCATTAAATGCAATGAATATACATGTCGATTGATGAATCAGTTAAAAATGTACTATACTATCAATCATTTTCATACATAAAACACTGACCAGTAAATATAATCAGAAAAACTCCAACACCATTGTTCGTACGTAAGAAGTAAATCTGTTAATTCTTTTTTTTTTTGAAAATAGAACAGCAGTTTCTTTTTAAACTATATCATAGACAAAGTTATTGTTACCTCTACGTCTGCGCTATACATTTCGTTAACTTCTCCTCTCATATTATGCTGATGTGTGATGTGACAACTCGGATAGATGCATATCTACGCCAAGTTCGATGTTACTATTTATATATGATTGAGTTTCAGAAATTATCTCCTAACTGGTGAAAGGAAAACTTCAAAAGTAATTTTAAAATATATTTTTATCTAAATTAGGTAAAACTGTAATGAGTGATTTCTCAATCACATATGAATAATGAACGTTCGGAAAACTTCGAAAGCATTGACGATGCTAAATTGCTTATGAGAATTTATACTTAGGTAATTTTTCGGGTGAAAGTAACTGTTTCCTGATTAATCAATAAAGCCTTTTTATGGAATGTTGAATGTTCAACAACAATCTACCTAAATGATTCAAATTATATATGTGAATTCCTAGTTTTAATTTGTTTTGCTCCCATTTCCTAATATTATTTGTCCTCACTGAGTTCTATAGATATCTCCTTGACTGGTCGACATGTGAAATACATAAAACTTCGAAAGCCTTAACCAATCTTTTCTTTGATATAAGTTAACAATCTCATTGAAATGATGAACCCATCAAACTTAGACTACTTATTAGAACGGTTGACGATTTAGATGAAATTCAACAATCTCCGCAACCCCATACTGAAAATTACCAAGTTTTGTTAATTCGTATTCTAATGGATATCCATGGCTGAGGGACCTGGAACTGAACGACCAAAGAAGCATCACCAGAATATAACCAAATAAATGTGTTTCCTGGTCCTTAGACCGTATACTTGTTGGGGTAATCCAGAAAACTTCCCGCAAAAGACAAAAGAGACTCAGAAAACACTAAGAAGCACTTTATCCTATCAGCGTCCAGTAGAAGTTTAGCCAGAAACATCAAGAAAGTGAAAAGTCACATGTAGATTCACTGATTGGCTGATTACTATAATGCTACTATGTTTAGTAGTATTCCAGAGTTTTTGGGGAAACCAAGGACATCTAAAATACTATAAAACCCTATATTTTCTGCACTAAAATGAACCTTTGGAGTAAAGCGCTTCTCACATACTTTGCGCCTTTTCTCTCATGTTCAGGCCGCTGTGTAGTTTTAGCTTGGGGGTTACGAGAATAGTTTAGGAACCGAATATAGCGTTCAATTAGCAAGAAGTATCAATACTAACAACCTAGTCTTCTAGGCATTATTCCGTTTTATGAATTCCATTTTGAATGTCACCCCAACGCTTTACTCACTCATTAAAAGGTATGTCCGCACTCTGAATAATTAATAAATTTAAAAATACTACTGGCAACTCTACCAATAATGCTAGATGGGCGTGATTCTGAAGGCCATAGGTAAACATCTCAATCAAACTTATTTGACGATTGAAATGTCTCTGCCGTTCATGTTGAAATATTTACAGTTGACTGACCATCGAGTAGTGATCAATGTCATATATTTCAAGCCCTTCTTAGTGCTAATCGGTCAAATTGCAGTGCAGCCACTAGTCGAACCGACTCAACATCGCATGCATTATGTTCAGCTGAGGTAATGTTTAAAGGTAGTTGATACATGATCGAATCCATCAGGGAGCATTATTTCATCCAAGATAACATGTACAGCTTTCTTATGAGTGCCAAAAAGCACGAAGACTGGGTTTAGGGTTCCCTATCGACTAGCTCCAACCACCACCTTACATGTTGAAATATTCAACTCAGTTGGCTGTTCGATATTGACGTCCTGAGTTCTTTTTTTAATCTCCACTGTTGCATTCCTTCCTGCCTATAATTCTCTAGCCAACCTGTCTTAATTCAGGTCAGTAGAATTCAAGACAAAAATAAACTTAAATAAAACAGATATTTCGAAACAGCATAGAAGTATATATACAAGATTAAGTAAGATACTTCTAGTATTTATTTCGCAAGGCTATTTGATAAGAGAAACTCATCATCTTTTAGAAACATCTGAGAGTATCACATGGTGGGAAAGCTATGAATCAGTTTGTCTGGATTATCTTTCCACTGAACGTGAGAAGCTGCTGAATCAGAAGCTGATCATATTAACAATAATCGGTCCAACTAATACTCGATTCACAATCATCGAAGTTAATGTTTCAGTTATCTACCCATCTGTTTTAAACTGAAAAGTTGTAAAATATCAAAACAGCATATTACATGATTTTGTACATTGACTAATGACTTATATTATCATTTATCATGCTCATTACTAGTGACTGATCTAAAACAGAGAGGGAAATCGCAGTCTATATTAATCAACTAAAAACCTACTCTATAATTCAACCTCCATATCATAAATCTCACTACTTTAAGGCTATTTAGTACAATTCATTAATATAAATATCATCGATACAATGGAAATATTATTCGACTCCGTCCAGAACAACTATTTTACGATATGGATCAAAATTATTATTAATCATCTTATTGTATGTAGTATATAACAAGGACCTAATAACAAGGCATTAGGTTTATTGTTGAGGCGATATCGTTGAAAGAATGCTTTCTCTTTCCAATAGGTCAATAAGTTCATTTACCTTACCTAAAAACCCATATATATATATATATATATATATATATATATATGCATCGATAGACAAATTAGTAGAAAGAGGGAAAAAAGAACAGAGTTAAGTACTTGCATTTCGAACATTACCTGTTCAATATTACGTCTTAATTGACGAATCCTTAACCACATCTCTTCAATTTGATGAAGTGTTGTCGATGGTGTTGAAAAACCAGTACAACCACCGCCGCCACCTTCACCACCAGTAGGATTTGATGTTGCTACTGGTGAGTATACGGAAAATGATTGATTGTCAAGTGAGTTATTTACAGAAGTATGATGCATAGTCTGTGATTCACTGTATGGTGATGATACGCTATTATCTATAGATAAGGGTAATGGGAGACGTTGATTTGAAGTGATAATATAACCAGATTCCGATGACGGAATACTAGTTAATGGATGATGATGTAAAAGATTTCCATTGGATGATGGTTGATTGTCTGAAAGAACATTTGGAGTCATGCACACAAATGATTGTTTCGATGTAGGTTGAACAAACTGTAATTCATATGTTGAGACAGGAATTTGTGAAATTTGGTCTGTTTCACTCATTGTATTATCATTAACGAAAGTAACCGGTATTAGAGTTGTCGAAGATACATTACCTTGTGTAGAAGGAATTTGAAAATGATTTGTGTGTCCTATCATAGAATAAGGAAAACATTTTTAAAAGATAACAAAAGCACGGTTACACTGTAAGGAAAAAAAATCCATTGTGGATAAAAAACGAATAAAACTATTTTAGGGTTAAACAAAAACCATACATCAACTAATATGGGACAAAAGCCATCAAAAAGTAAATTTCAGTTCGAGTTTTTCCACACAATAATTACAGACGATTAAAATTTACTGAATAACCAAATCCATGAATACGTCTGGTTAAGTTCATTCTGCCAACAGAAATACTTTTGAAACTAATACGTACATCAAGAAAAAACTGGCTGGAATAAAATTGTCTCAATAATTTCCGCGATGAAGATAATTTATCGTAATAAGAACGAAACTATGGATATTCAGAAACGGCTTTGTCTACCAGAATCGCAGAATTCCCTATTTTTTAAGAAGTTATGATAGTCCAAGAGTGCTATATCACTTTATGATGAATCCGTTGACTTAAGATAATTTTTAAGAATCTACGAACTATGGGTAAAAATTATTGAGACATACTGATTATCCAAGATATCTTCTGCCGTCAAATCACATAAATTATGCAAAACCTGAGAGAAATTGACTCCACCATTAGATTTCATATAGATGTTCGAAATATATAATGGACTATTCATATAAAAAAGCACCAGGACCCTTAGTCCTAATTTCATAGATCTACGTGAAAGATGATACTAATAAAATGGATTCCTGACACGACGCCAGAAAGTCAGGCCCAACAATTGGATCTTAATTGATCGGAGAATGAGTGACCTATGACTTGATTTCCTTCAATCGCCTATGACATTCTATCATATTTTTCTGCTAATAATTTATATATAAGCATGTTATTTCAATACATGAAAAACTTATTCGCCCGGCCAGTGGTCTTATTTATGATTTTAAATTATCTGAGGGTTTAAGTCAACAATTTGTTCTCGCAAGTTGATATTACTCAGCCACATCATATCATTGCATTCATCTATCGATTGGCATTCCATTCATTATTTTTAGATAATTATTTCATGATGTATTTGTGACTCAAATACATTTAAGTGAAGGACCTTATAAGGAAAGAATCTATCCCAAAGTGAAAAATCTAGAAGTGATCATGTCGTTAGCATTAAACAAACATATTTGATAATTAATATACTGAAATCGTGTTTAACTCAGATTCCCACTCACAATCATTGATATGTCGTGGGATTAGATGGACCATATTGTAAACCGACTTAACTACTCTTCTGCAACAACTCAATCGTCTTATATTCCTTGTAAACATTCAACGTTCTTACATACAAAAACAGAATCCCGTAATAAAACTCTTGAAATCTAACAAAGTTATAAAGTTAAATGGTGAAGTGGGATTCGCCATACAGGAGAGGATATGTGCCTATATGTATCATTTTCCTTCTACAAGTCAATATTTTACACATACAAACCGTTAATTGAAATTTCCTTGGTGTTCAAGCTACTAAATGACCATATACTTCATCCTAAACAATACACAGGTACAGGTCAACAGAAAACAAGATAGATTTCATTCTGGTTTTAAAAACAAGTCACATCACGGTCCATCGATTCTTTTGTTCCTAGATATTAATTTATAATTTGCTAAATGGTGTCACTTTCTGGAAATTCATTCTACGCAAATCTGCTCGAAAAAAATGAGTCAGAGTTCTGAAAACGCTATTGGTTGGTCGACTACTTCAAATTAAACACAACGCTACAGATACATTCATATTTCTTTACTGAAGCCAATGAACATCTTAATATAATCAATATTTGTCCCCTCCCATAGAATTGTTTTCTGTTGCATTATTTCTTGGTTTCTTGTTATTGATAGTATTGATACCAATAGTTACTTTTATTGTCAATTTACCTTAATTGTGTCGATAACGAAATGTGAATAACTCGGACCTGTACATTGCTGCATTACAATAAATTTTGTTTGTTTTTCTACCTTGTAAATACTAGCAGGCTTTATAAACAGGAACTTGTCTGAAATACGGTTATTTAATCTTATCTCTTCTTGTTTAAGACTATTAATGATATTTTAGACAAAACTCTTCAGAAAGCCAGTCTAGATGAAGTAAAGGTAATGTCTAAAGAAAAAATACGGAGACCCAAATTATGAGAAACACGTTCTTTTATTGAGTGATAACTTATCAGTGATCCAGATTACGCTCAATCCACTGATGTTCAGTGTGTACATCTGTGTTGCATATACTTGGCAACATTGATATATAAAGTTTAAAAAGTTTGAAAATATCAAACTTCTAATATTCTCTATATAGATATATTACAAGTTAATGTCCTTACAGTTTAGCATTAGCGTTAATGCAATGGAGGATATGCAAATAATGAAACAAACTGACTCGAGCAATTAACTCCATGGGTTCGAATCCCATGTTTTCTAATAAATTTTAAGCAGTCGAGTAATAGTGTTAGCTCTCCTACTAAAATAAGCATGAGTTAAAGCTGATGCATGAACATAGAAATTAGTACTAAATTGCATCACGTTAGTGAAACGGTTTCATGTTCAAAAAGACTAGATATAGGGAATAAAATATCACTATTGAAGTTATTATAATTCCTAAAGTATTCTGGATAGTAATTTTGGTACATTACAAATAACCTTCAGATTTTTTACTCTACAGTGGGAGAAGTAAACCCACCTGAGGACGAGTTAGACGAAACTTCCGGAAAGAATGGTGCTGAAACAGAATGCCTTAATGAGACACAAGGTTGAGCAAATAACACATTGGAACCGTCTGGTCTCATAACAACATCAGAGTATACTTGTAGATCTTTTGGCATTGTAGATCCTGAAGAAAATACTGTAGTGCATAAATTCACAGGTTTAGTTTGGGATAGTAGTGACGAGTCAAAATCTTTTAAGTTGACATCCATATCCATCATAGGTTGCTCAGAATTCACCAAAAGTTTTTGATGTTGGTCCTGACGTTTTACGAAAGACTGTGTTTGATTTGCATTATGATAAAACTGAAGAGGTCCATTTATCCCCAATTCGATTTCTTCACTTTGTTTCATTACAGAATTAGGAAAATATTTTACCAATATTTCACGGCGATATGGATTTAACAGGCGCATTAATTGCATTTTAGAACCAGCACGAGGTAAATTTCTGTCCTTGCATTCCCCTTTAAGTTGAGTGAGAGTAAGATGAGCAAGACTGGGTAAGTTAAAATTAGATTCCAACGGTAACGTTTTTGAAGAACCAGTCCGTTGGTTACTTAAACCAATCTGATTCTTAGAACAAACTATTGAGTTTGAAGGGGTTGGAGAGACTTGCAACGACATTGAACTGGAAGTGCAGGATAATGCTAGTTGACTATTCATTTGATTATTAAATGTGTTAGGAGTCAGATCCATGAAGGATGCGTCTTCATGTAGGGGCTTTTTACATGTACTTACGCGCTCACACAATTCTTGTTCGACTAGACGATGAGCACGTGCGGTATCTTGGAGACGTAACATTTCAACCTGTTGTAATTCCCGAACTCGTTGTTTTTGTTGAAAGGATGAGACGTTAGCTAGGCTTGGAGAAGATGAACTCGATGAGTCTGGACAATACTGATGAAAAACCAATGAACCTAATTTTGAAACAACAGTGTCGTCTCGAATTGCCCGACTTGTGGATGTTTTATTCGAACTAATTAAACGACTTCTTCCAGAAACAACACGGCCGGAATTTGTACAGTGTGCCTTTGTAGTTGATGAAAGTGGCGGAGGTGGTGGGATAGTGATCAATTCTTGAATAGGTTGTAGTCGTTCACATGAAATCCTTTCCAATGAAACGGACTCGACCCTAGGATATTGGATAGAACCTTGTTTGATGAGTGAATCAACACCGGGATCAACCTACGGTTGGGGGAATATATTTAAAACAACCGATAACATAATAAGGAAAAGATACAACATACAATGTTAATATTTTATCAAATACCTAAAATAAATAACCTTATCTTTATGAATAATTATGTTTACCATACTTCTATAAGTACTTTAATTTGGGAAGCAGGACACTCATTCACCCACAAACAGTTTGTACAACTAGTAACCCTATGAGTGATTCTGAATTAGATTTGTAGAGCTAGGTGATAAGATTTATTTTCACCCATTAGGAAATCAGGTTTAGTGTTATTTAGGTATACGATATTTAAAGTCAAACTGGAGATATCATTCGATTTAGCTCAACTTAGTTTGTATCTAGATGAATTTATTTACTAGTTGCTGAATATCAGTCTTTTTTACACAATTGAATTTACACATCAATTTATGCGTCTTTAAATCACATAAGTAATCAACCATAGTTGCGATCGGAAAAACTAGAACAGTGTTCACGGTGTAAGAAGAGATAAAAATGGATTGAACTTATCCTTAAGTTATATAGCAAAATGTACTGCAAACAGCAGACACTATAAAGTTAGGTATTATTCATTCATAAAGATAATATCGGTGTTTTTTCAACAGTGTCATGTCACGTAAAAATAAATAACGAATATAATTAATATATTAAAACAATAGTAAAACGGCGTCGAGTACCTGAATTCATGTGAACAAATACAAAAATAATTCTTTATGAATACACTGATTTACCTGCAGAACTCCTTTCTCGACTAACTCCAATGAACCAGGTCTGGAAATAAGCTTCGCGGCAATGTCTCCTTTAGCTGAGACTTTTCTAAATTGTAACATTGCTCAAGGACGAAAGGTGAAGTCCTCGGCTTATCGTCTAAAATCACAAATTATTACTGGAGAAAAATTACCCCTTAAGATATGATGGCTGATAAGATACTGTCTGTCCGGCCGTTGTCCAATTTTACGTTTCAATAAATCACTAGTCTAAGGAAACAAAAACGTATTAGAAAGATTGTAAACGAAACCTTAGCTTTTTGTAATTGGCGAACCTTATCAGGGTGTGAAATAGAGGCTATAATGAAAGAAATGTTAGATTAAAATTTGATATACGATTTAGTAATATCCCTTGATTGACTAACTCCTTTACAGAACGTCTGCACTTAAGGCTTTTCTCAAGTGCTTGAAAACATTAAGAGGTGTTAATAACAGTGATTGATTTACCTTCTTTGTTTTTAGTCCGATTTAGTTGCAAAGAAGAAACCTCGGTAGAAGCTTGTGGACTTCCTGATTTTCGATGAACTTGGTCTGTAGGCATAACTAAAAACATAAAAAATGGATTAAGACCAATAGAATCATAGTTTTCGCGAAAAATAAGGACCATTTGGCCGTACCACTACTTCCAAATAATTCTTAGTGATAATTAAGATACCAATTCGCATCAAATAGATCTGTGACAACAGGTTTTATAAATAAATAACTGGTTACTTAGCGGTAACCCATGAAAATGATTTTTCTTCTCTATACCTAGTAAAACTAGGTAGCATAAACATTTAATGGGCTTTTAAGACGAGAAAGGTGAACCATTATCAAATATAGTGAAAATATTTCTCAAAAGAATATATCCATCAGTATTCATAAATGTTTCAGACGCTTTAGTTTCTCGACAATAAATGCCATGTTCCGTAAGGAATAAAACTAATTCGAGTGGAACATCTTGAAGTTGATAACTAGTAGGAATAAAAATATAAAAGATATAGAGTAACTAGCTTTTCGTACCATATTCATGATAGCAAAACGTGATATCACAATCATAAAACATAATAAGATTTAGTTTGATCTTCCCACAACTGAGAGAACTACTTAAAATACTATCTGACAGTGAATTTCGGTTCAATATTTTCGAGAGTTTCCTAGAAAACTTTAATGGCAAAAATCAAAGGATACGAAGCAGTTTCTTTTACTATTTAAACAACGTAGCCAATTACGTGAATAGTGCCTCCAAATGCCCTGGTACGGCCGAGGGTGAGGAGAGTTAGCTCTCCCTCTCGAAATACAGCCACTGTCAGGGAAGTCCTATTCACTGCCTTCTCGTAGTGGGGTTGTCATTTACGAAATTGAGAGGATGAAAAGAGAATGTCCGGCGCTTTAACCGGGTTGGTGTATACGGAGGATTATTTATTTATTTATTTATTTGAACACATAAATATTGGTACAAGAGAGCGCCAATATATATGCGCCACACAAAACAATGAAAATTCGAAGAGAAATAGAAAGAGAAAAAAAAAACTAGGGAACGCAAAAGAAAAAGAGAACAATGACGAAGAGATTGGAGTAAGGTAGTGTGGTAGTAACGACGGAACGAAAAGGTACAATCAGAAGAAATCTTTCAGGTAAAGGAGACACAACCACTTTTTAGAAAGAAAGTAAAAGAAGGTTACAGCAGGATCGCCACTGGCTTCTATTCTGAGCCATATCTGATAACGTCTCTAGCCACTGTGTAGCACCATCTCTCGGACCCCAACCAGGGAGTCGTGAAGGACCAACACAAGCCAGTCCTTTGCAGCTTTCTTTCATGCCACGACACCATGTCATGCACTGACCACCTCTCCGCCTCTTCCAACCAGTCCCAGAGTCGGCAAATAATGCACGACGTGGAATTCTCTGGGACGACATTCGGAGAACATGTCCAAGCCACCGAAGTCGGTGTTTCAAGATGGTGACACCAATTGAATTATCATCTCTGTGCCCGAACACACGATGCCGAACCTCTGCATTACTGACATGGTGTTGCCACTGAATGTCAGCAATCCTTCGGAGACAGCGATGATCGAACACAGAGAGTCGTCTAACGTCCTCAACTCGGAGAGGCCAGGTTTCACAAGCATAGAGCAAAACTGCTCTCACCGACGCGTTGTAGATCCGACCTTTTACAGCCAGACTAACATCACGAAGGCGCCAAAGGTGGCCCAGATTGGCATAAGCCGCTCTGGCTTTCACTATTCGTGCATTGATCTCATCACTCACACCCCCACCAGCACTTATGCAGCTACCCAGATACACGAACTTCTCAACTACGTCTATCTGCTCACCGTCCAGGGTGAGTACAGGATTAGAATCCTGCCAGTCTTGTAGAAGTACTTTGCACTTCGAAGGTGCAAAGCACATACCATACCTACGGACACTGATTGCCAACTGATTAAGTGCGGATTGCATGCCTTGGGCATTATCGCACAGTAAGACAATATCGTCCGCATACTCAAGGTCGAGAAGTCTTTCTCCAGGCAACAGATCCACACCACCATTACTTACATTCATCAGAGCTGTTTCCAGAATGTCATCGATGGCAAAGTTGAAGAGGAATGGTGAGATTGGGCAACCCTGCCTAACCCCACTGCTCGAATGGAACAATGGAGAGAGGTGGTTGTATGCCCTCACTCTGCCTGAGGTGTTTTTATACAGGGCTTTCAGGATGTTAATAAACTTCTCAGGCACACCCTTCTTCAATAGACAATCCCAGAGAACAGTCCTGTCCAACGAATCGAAGGCAGCCCTGATGTCAAGAAACACTACGATTGTTGGCCTTTGAAAAGTATGGCGGTGTTCTAACATTTGGCGGAGGGTGAAGATATGATCAATACATCCTCGACCAGAACGAAACCCAGCCTGCTCCTCGCGAGTCAATCTTTCTCGGGTTTTGAACAACCTACGAAGAATGACGGAAGCCAATAGCTTGGACGCAATCGGAAGTAAACTTATCCCCCGATAGTTGTTACAAGAACGACGTGAACCCTTTTTAAAGATAGGGACAACTATCGACTCATTCCATGACGTTGGTACACACTCTAGTTCCCAAACCTTTGTAAACAACGTCGTCAATTCCTTAGTCAAAAAGTCACCACCATCTTTAAAAAGAGCCGGAGGTAAGTCATCTGGGCCAGGTGATTTGTAACGCTTCAAGAGTTGGAGTTCCTTGCGGACTTCCTCCTCATTTGGTGCAAAGTTGCAGTAGACGGTCCCCGTTATCTGACCTGCGACCAACGAGTCCCCATCGGCCACCTAAACGACTCTCTTCTGTGCCTAGACGCCCGACCTGAGCATTCAAGTCTCCGGCTAGTACTACAATATCTGTCGAACGCACTTTCTGGAGAAGAACTGATAACTGGTGGTAAAACTCATCCTTGATTGCATCCGGGCTGCAATCTGTCGGGGCATAGGCGGAGATGACGAAAAGACATCGTTTCTCACGCCGATTTCTTCTCACTTTGATGGAACTTTCTAATCTAACAGCACATAACCGATTGTTAATGGGGATCCAATCGACTAGTGCCGCCTCAGCTCTAGCGCTTAGTGCGACACCAACGCCAGCAAGACCAGACGAAGATGCCACAGGGTCCCCGGATAAGCGCACGTAAAACAAGCTTTTCGAAGCGACAGATGGAGAGCGAATTTGTAGTACTTCGCCAGAGTCTTGAATACGGGTCTCGGATAGACAACAAACATCAATATTAAGACTTTCCAAAGACATAGCCAGCCCTATCTGTTGTCCGACCTGCATAAATGTGCGAACGTTGAAGGCAGCCAGTTTGAATGGTGCACGTGGTTTCAGAAAATCTGCTTCAGTCCTCGTATTCGGTGGTAACATACAATTTTCAAACCGGACAGTGACTCGAGAACGTATAGATACAGTCGGATTTTCGCCAAAGACGAGCCGCTGTATAAGTATAAAAGAGGGTGAGTAATGTGGAAAATAATAATAATAATGATAATAATAACAATAATGACAATAATACTAGTAATAATAATAACAGTATTAATAATGACAATAATTGTAATGATAATAATCTGAATCAATTGTTTGTTTTTCAAAGCAAGAAAGGTAATTTCCGTAGGCATAAAGAGTTCATCAATTTGTGTGTGGGCTGTGGTACTGCCCGGGTGCCCAAACCGAAGCAGGTGGTTATCTTAGGGGGCCACTCCCCGAGCCTTTGACCTAAAGGTCTAACCCACAAGGCAGTGGAGCATCGTAAGGAGATGCAGTCCCATGGTAGCCGGTGACCAACGATTGGCTCATACGCCATTCGTTCCCGCAGGATACTGGAGCCCATGTGCACCATTGATTTGGAATCCGGTTAAAGCGCCGGACATTCGCTTTTCGTCCTCTCATTTTCGTAGACAACACCCCCACCACGAGAAGGCAATGAGTAGGACTTCCCTGGCAGAGGCTGTATACGCGTGGCCGTGTGAGAGTATTTCGAGAGGGAGAGCGGACTCTCCCCACTCTCGGCCGTACCAGGGCATTCAGAGGGGCACGGAGGATCCACCTAAGGGAGTTTGAAAACCCTGATTCCAAACCAATGGTGCACATGGGCTCCAGTATCCTGAAAGAACAAATGGTGTATGAACCAATCGTTGGTCACCGGGTACCATGGGACTGCATCTCCTTACGATGCTCCACTGCCTTGTGGATCAGACCTTCAGGTCGAAGGCTCCGGGTGTGGCCTCCCAAGAAAACCACCTGCTTCGGTTTGGGCACCCGGGCAGTATCACAGCCCTCACACATATCAAATGAGATTTGTGTGGCGCATATGTATTTGGTGCCTCCTTGTACCAATGTCTATGTGTTTAAATAAATAAATAAACGTGAATAGCCATGATAAAATAGCTGGTAAGCAACTCTTACTGAGACTAATAATTAAGAATTACTAGAGAACAAACTGAAACATTTTAAAAATGCAAATCCAAAACAGGACTTCTGAACTATAAAATGTAACAAGATAGATTACTAACATGGTTTAGCAGTTTCGTTGAGTTTCTGAACTTTAGAGAACAGCGGTAGAACACTGAAATCTATCATAACACATTAAAAATCAATGCATTTATGAATTTTACTATCGTTTAATGAAGTCGAAACGACTTTCACAAATTAAATCTATCGTTCAAAAGACAATCTTTTTAAATCTAGTTTAAGGGAGATATTGTTGGTGATATGCTGAAAAGCCGTTTGGAGGGAAAAATTAGGACGAAATTTAACATAGAGTACAAACCAATGTATTTCTCCTTTTATGTGTCTTCTTGTGAAAGATAAAGTACCGAAGCTGATCAATTTAATGTGTGTGTACCAGTTCACTTGTTAAGCTTAGTAATGAAGTCATTCGTCGAGGCTGCTTTTTTTTTGCATTCTGAAGCATCTACCAGCATAGATCAAAACATGTGTACATAACTCAATTATATCATCAATTTTGAAGTATGTGTTAAACATAGGACATTTATCCTCCGATTCATTCGACATCATTTACAAAAATCCAGTTATAGATACC